GTGGTATCCGACAGGGATCCCAGATTCACTTCTCGGTTTTGGAATAGTTTCCAGCAAGCTATGGGAACAAAGTTGTCTCTTAGTACTGCTTTTCACCCCCAAACCAATGGACAATCAGAGAGGACAATTCGTACGCTGGAGGATATGCTCCGAGCTTGTGTCCTTGACTCCGGGGGCCATTGGGACGACCACCTACCCCTGATAGAGTTTGCTTACAATAACAGTTACCAAGCAAGCATCGGCATGGCCCCATACGAGGCGCTATACGGGCGTCCGTGCAGGTCACCGATCTGTTGGGAAGAAGTGGGAGATAGAAGATTGTTTGGCCCGGATTTGGTAGAAGAAACCACGTCCAAGATAGTTAAGATCAAGAAGAACATCCAGACAGCTCAGAGTAGGCAGAAGAGTTATACTGATACCCGGAGGAGAGACCTGGCCTTTGAGGAAGGCGACCGGGTGTTTCTTAAAGTCACCCCCTTCAAGGGGATTAGTAGGTTTCGGCAGGAGGGTAAAATTAAACCCCAGATATATTGGACCCTTTGAAATCTTAGACAAGATTGGTATCACGGCCTACAGACTTGCTCTGTCTCCTGAGCTCTCCCGGGTTCATAATGTGTTTCACGTATCTATGCTACGTAAGTACAATCCGGACCCTTCTCATGTCTTGGCTCATGAACCGCTTCCACTCCGAGAGGACTTGTCTTATGAAGAAGTACCGGTCGGTATCACGGACCGAGAGAGCAGAATACTCCGCAACCGGGAAATATCATTTGTAAAAGTCGTGTGGCAGAACCACACGCCCAGGGAGGCCACCTGGGAACTGGAATCAGAATTTATGGCCCAATATACTCATCTGTTTGATCAAGAGTAATGAGGCAAATTTGGGGACGAAATTTCTTTATGGGGGGGAGAGTTGTAGAGCCCGGAAAGGGGCCGAAAAAAAAAAAAAAGCCACGTCGGCAGCCACGTCAGCAGGCCCGGTTAGCGGGCCCAGTCAGCAGTCCCGGCCAACCGGGACCTGCCACGTGGCAAGACCACGTCATTCCAAAAAGGGCCACGTTGGCGATCCGCGTAGGCACGATCGGATTGCCCAGATCAAGCGTGTGATCGGACGGCCCAGATTTAAATGCACGGACGGCCCAGATTTAATCAAAAACGGAAGGCCCAGATTAAAACAAAATGGACGGCTGAGATCAAAAGGCAAAGGGTTATAAATAGAACCCCCACACCAGACCAAAAACCCTAGCCGCCTGCCGCTCGCTGGAGAAGACGAACCAGAAGCCGGCCGCCGCCACCCGCCGTCGCACCGGAGGAATTTCCGACCAACGATCGAGGTAAATTTCGTACCCCTGACTCATTTTTCCACGCTGATTCCTCCTGTGGCCAAATCGGAGCCAAAATCCCGGCCAAACGGCCGGAATACACGGTCGAAGCCCAGCGGCGCCGCCGCGCCCCTTCTCGGTTTTTGCCTCCGATGAGGCCCTTCCCGGCCTCCGTTTGATGCAATTTTTATATCACCGTGATCACCATTCTTTTCTCTACAGGTTGACCAGAGCCGAATCACCAAAACACGAACCTCACCGGAGAGCCGCCGCACCCGAGAGCGCCGCCGTCGGTAAGCTCCGTTTTTCCGTGATTTTTTGGCCCCCCGATGGCCCTTGGGTTGTTTTCTCGCAGGGACCGATGCGAGTGTGGCCAAATTCGGCCAGAACGGCCGA